CATGGATCGCATGTCACTGCAAACGCGCCCGCAGCCGCGCCGTAAAGGTCTGCCGTGCTGGCTGACGATCTCACTCTCCCGCTCCTATTGCATCTGCCTCCCGCCTCCCAGCTCACATTTCACGCTGCAGTAGGTGTTCCTGTCGACGCTGCCGCCGCTGCCACCGCTACTGTCACCGCTCGTTTGATCATCGACGTCACGCTTAGCGGCAGCGAGATCCGAGGTTCAGTCAACTTGCCTGGTGCGCTCTTGCGCGTGCCTTCAAGATCCACAAGTCAATTTGTACCAGAAATCCAAAGGTGGTGCAAAATGGATATCTCAAGATTGGCCTTTAGTTCGCACACCTGCTCTCCGCCGCCGCCGCTTACCTGCTGGCACGCCACCGCCCCGCGTCGCTAACTCAAGCCTCCCTGCTGCATCTTCGCACCCCTGCCACATGACTCGATCGCCGTCGCTGCTACCGCCCTCTCCGCCGCCCTCGAAGGCGCCACCAGCATTGCGGCCGCCTTCATATCTCATTGATGCTGCCACCAACGCCACCTCCTCGATTCTGTGCCGCTGCCGCGGCGAGGCGCCGTCGCCACGATCGCCGCCAGCGCTGCTGACAGCCTCGGAGCGTCGCCGTGGCCGCGTTCTGGTCTGCCCACGCTTCCCCTAAAACGTCTAGGACGAGCTCAGAGGCTAAGGGCGCATCCTGTGGGACCATCTAGCTCTACTGGGTCCGCGACGGCGGTCGGCGCACCCCCGTCTCGAACGTGTGTGCTCTCTGTCTGTCTGTCAGCTGTCTCGGCTAAGTCGTTTTGTACCGGATTTCAATGTTAGTGGCAAAACCGCGGAACCAAAAATGGCGTTTAATATCGCGCCCCTGCTGTCCGCCGCCTGCGGCGGCGCTCCGCGCCGCTTGGGGCGCCTGCGGCGCCCCTGGGCGCGCTGCGCGCGCCTGTTTTTGGGGGGCTACCAGCACCGAAAAATTGCCCTTTTTACGGACAATCCCGATCGAAGCTAAACTTTGTTCAATCGAAGCTACGAGGTACCCTGATCATCCCGCCGCGCCTTCGGGGAGGCGGTATGTTGGATCCCGCGTGGCACCAACCCTCACCGACCCTAGCCTGAGCCGATCTTGCTGCACCTTTATCGGAGCATCACCCTCGTAAGCCGCGTCCGAGTCGTAGTCGTCCGGTCGTGGTTCTTCAGCCACGTCCTCCTTGGGCTCTCCGAGCCGTCGTTGCCGCCGCCGCTCGGCTCGACGGAGCTTAGCCTTCCGCTCTCGCTCTGACGCCAGCTGTCGCCACAGCCTCGCCTTCAGGGGCGGCGGCGGGGGCGGGGGCGGCGGCGGCGCGGGCGCGCGCGTGAGGGGTGGAGACGCTGCCGTGCGCTGCGCGCGCACGCGCGCACCACACACCACACGGAGGGAGAGACGGCGAGGAGGCGGCGACGGCGGCGGCGGCGGCAGCGCGCGCGTCGGGGGGGCGGAGCAGCGACCGCTGGCGCGGTCGCTGCTCCGTCTGTGCCAGAGACGAGCGCTCTGCTTGCGCAGAGCGCGTCAAGGCAAGGGCAAGCGTGGCGGCGCGGGACGCGCGGCGGCGGCGGCGAGCAGCCGAGCGCTCCGTGCGCGGTGAGGCGGCCGGGCGAGGGCGCGGCGGGTGACGGGGCAAGGGAGCAGCCCACACCCGGCCGTCGCTTCGAGCGACGCCTGCGGCACGCCTGCACAGGGGCCGCAGGGCGGTCAGTGGTGGGGCGAGGCGGTGCCGGCCGCGGGCCGGGAGCAAGGCGCCGGCCTCGGCGCCGCCTTGGCGCGCGGCGCGGCGCGCCTCTGAGCGAGCCCAGAGTTCAAGCGTGCGCCTGCGTCGGGAGCTGATCGGGAGATGCGTAGGGGGGTGGCGAATGCGCTCCTGTCTCTTCAGTTTGAACCGATCTGCTCGGTGCGTGCATCGCCTTTGTCCATCCCAAGGGCTTAGGGACCACTCAGAAGAGGGAAAAAAAGTGCTGGGCATCGACCTGATCAGCCCCGCCACTGAACTGCACGACCGGGCGTGGCTCTACGAAACGCGCAAGGCTATGAGACTGGTATTTGGCGATATTTTGATTAGTTTTGGAGTGGTATGGTATAGTGGTATGCGAAAGTGGTATGCGGGGTTTTCAGTAGTTGTAGCGGCTGTCGGTGTGGTCCCGGGGGCGAAACCATGCAAAAGTGCGGGTATTACCCGGGTATACCCGGGTTTTTTCAGGTATACCCGCAAAATACCCGGTATTTTGCCGATTTTGCCGATTTTGCCACCAAGAAGGCACTCCGACTCGCTTTGATTTCCGTGAGGCAACTGGTATCCCGTACCACTTTTTGATTAGTGCAGGCCTTGGGTTTGATTAGCCAAAAACTCCCATACCGGTAAAGATTGCACACTGCTATCGGCCGTGCTCGGGTAGGACGCGCGACAGCAGGGAACGTGCGGCGGCGAGCACGTCCGCGCGATAGCGCAGCGTGCAGGGGGCTGGCTTCATGGACTGCTCCCACAACGGGAGAGGGTAGCGCTTTTTTATCGCGCGCGGTTTTTTGCCACATATCCGGCGGTTCGACCCAGTGCACACAGCTCGTGCAGGATCGATCCTCTTCGCAGATGGGCGGTCGAGCTGCGACTCTGTCAATGGTGCCGTTGGCGACAGCGCACCGAGGCAGCGAGGCGACAGTCGGCATGTCGGCGGCATCCAGCAGTCCGGAAGATGTGTTGATCTCAATGAGCGATCTCATTCGCGGCCGTGTGGCTATGAGCTCCGGAACCAGTCGTGCGGCGTTTGTTGAGAGCGCGTCCTCGTGGTGCAGAACCGCGCAGCACCAACCGACGGCCGAGGAGCTCGGCGAGTGCGATCGCTAGCGAGAGCTGGCGAGTCTGGTCGGTGAGCCCGTTGGCCGGGTAGTAGGACAGAACTGCTACAGGCGGCAGGGGCGTCGCGGTGGGCCCCATCCAGGGTATATCCCAAGGAGGGCTAGACGACGCCCTTTACCCCTGGGGGGGGGCGCCCTCCCCTGAGAGCCCCCCCCCCCCCCCCTCCCCCGCGGTACCTCGCGGCCGCGCGACGTCATCGGGCATACCACCCTCACCGCAAAGTGTTCGAATCCACGACACTGGCGGATTTGTGTCACATCGGCGCATGCTCCGCGCCTTCGACCCCGCCCTCGATGGGCCGGCCGACGCGGACGAGGCGTGGCGCTACCGCTATGTGAACGGAGAGCGCGTGTGCGGCTGGTCGTGCGACCCGTCCGGACCGTACTACGAGCAGGACAAGCACCTGTGCCCAAAGGCCTGCCGGTCGGAACGCTTTGCCGGCGGCAGCTCCCTGCCCTCCCGCTCCGAGATTGGGGGCGTCTGCAGCGAGCCGCCTCCGCCCCTGCCGCCGCGCAGCGGCGGCGCCGCGTCGTGCTCCAGCGGAGAGGCGGCGATCACAGCGGCGGGCGTGTGGATGCTCATCGGCGTGCAGACGGGTCCCGCCCACCTCCCGCGGCGCGACGGCGTCCGAGCCTCGTGGAAGCGGTTCGAGGCGGACGCGCCGTAGACACGCGGCAGTCGCCAAGTCACTGGACACCCACTGGCCTACCTGCCCACCAACCAGTAGCAGTCTCTCGCCGCGACCCCTTGCTTGATGCTTGAAAGCTTAACATGTCGCGATCGTCCCACCCGCTCTCGTCGTTCTCTCTGCTGCCGCGTCCTCCTATTTATCTCCTCACGCTTAGGCCGAGACGTACGGCGTGCTTGTCTGCTTCCTGGTCGGGCGGGGCGGGCTGGGGCCGTCGGCGCTGGCTGCGCTCGAGGCGGAGGAGGCGTGGCCGGCGTCTCTTCACGCAGCACAGCTGTGAACAGGCGCTCGCCGCGCTTGAGGCGGAGGAGGCGGAGCATGGCGACATCCTCTGGCTACCGAGCGCGACCCTAGATGCACGGCGCCGTATTCACAGCCTTGTTATTGTGGAAGAAAATACCTCCCATGGCGCTGTGCGCTGGTCTGTGAGAGGTTGAGGTGCGAGCCCTGGAGGCCCTGGGGATGGGAGACTACCTTCACATCACGGCGCGTTGGCAACACGCCACGCTTGCGTGCTAGCCCCGCGGCGTGGAGTGTGCTGGACCTGCCCGAGGAGCACCCCACCCGATGCACGGTTTTACAACGCAGGAACGCGACCGACGCGGGCGTGCCGACAATCAAGGGCTACCACTGGTGGCGCGCGGCCGCGGCGCTGCTGCCACGGGAAGGCTCTGCGTCGGGGCTCCGCATCGCAGCAAAGGTGGACGATGACTCCTTCGTCCATCTCGGGAACCTGGTGAGTGCAATCAGCCCAGTTTGTGCGACACACCAACGGACGACGGGCACGCGCGCACGCTTCGCACGCTTCGCACGCTCTGCTCGAGGAGGCCACACTTGTCACCATCCAGCGTTCTGCGCCGGGCTTCTGACGGGTGGTGCTCGTTGGGCAGGTGCGGGACATGCGGCAGCTGCACTGCGTGAGCCACCTGCACTATGGCTCGATCGGCTTCACGGGCTACGACCCTTCCATCTGGCGGCTCTGCGGTTGGTCGTGGCAGCCGCGAGGCAACAACTACCGCAAGGAGCGGTGCGCGCGCAAGGGGGCCCACCCGCCCTTCCCCTTCATGAACGGAGCCATGGAGCTGCTCTCGGCGCCGCTCGTCCGGTACGTCGCCCACTCGCCTGAGGTCGCCGGCTTCGTCAGCCGCGCGCAGCAGGTACCACTGAAGATGCCTTCAGCGGTGAGGACCCTACCGTCACGGCTACCCATCCCTCTGCCGTTGGCACGACAGCTGGCACACCAGAGGCCAAGCTCTCCCGGTCCTCTCGTGCTAAGAAGATCTCCTCTGAGTACGCTGACGCCTTCTCCAGATGAGCGGAGATGGGACCGAGCTGCCACACAAATGCTAGCGGCATGGGCCTACGGGTTCAAACCTTGCTTCACTTCAGCTCGTGGTCATGCTTCAGTGGTCGCACGACGTAGGCCGTCGACGCGCGGCTCGCTGCTGGCTGGCCGGTGTATGACCCGCGGAGGGGAAAGGCGCGCCTCTCTACTTGAGATGCACCCGGGCGCACGGGCGGGATCCAGCCCTCCTGAGCCACGAGATTGCGGGTGCGGTGCGCGGCTCTGGCGGAGGGCGGTCCAGCTCTGACGAGAGTGCGGTGCGCGGCTGCGCAGAACTAGTGTCAGCCACATGGAACGAGGCAACTTCGAAACAACGAGATTCGCGGTGAGCAAGCACTCGAGCACGGGCGAGAGATGCGCGGGGTCGGCGTCGTTGCGGAACGCCAGCCTGCACGGAGGAGCCGGGCGCGTGCGGCGCCAGTCTGGCGCCAGATCTCGGCCAGATCTCGGCCAGATCTCGGCCAGATCTCGGCCAGATCTCGGCCAGATCTCGGCTGCATCTCGGTAGGCGAATGGTCCGAGGGTGTGGCGCCAGAACGAGGACGTCGCGCTCGGATTTTGGATCAGCCGCGGCGAGATGCCGCCGAGATGTCGCCTAGATGTCGCCGAGATGTCGCCGAGATGTCGCCGAGATGTCGCCGAGATGTCGCCGGATGTCGCCGATCTCGCCCACCTCTCGCCCACCTCTCGCCCACCTCTCGCCCACCTCTCGGCCACCCCTCGGCCACCTCTCGCCCACCTCTCGGCCACCCCTCGGCCACCCCTCGCCCACCCCTCGCCCACCTCTCGCCCACCTCTTGCCCACCTCTCGGCCACCCCTCGGCAGGGGAGCGGCGGGGGCTGTTCAACGTGACGTGGGTGCGCATCAACGACCGTGCCATCAACATGGCTTGCGTCTCGAGCAGGGGCGTGTCCCAGCGGCCGGAGATCGCGCGAATACAGCCAAGATTCGGCGAGAGTAGGCTTGCATCTCGACCAAGGGCATGTACCAGCGACCAGGCAAAGACACCATCTGGGTCCACCACCCTCCTCATCCCCCTCCCCCTTCTTTTGCTCCACACCTCCCACCCCCCCCTCCTCCTCCCGCCCCTCCCCCTTCTTTTCCTCCACACCTCCACCTCCCTCACGCCAGGCAGTGTGTCTCGCGCATTCCGTGAGGACCAGCCACACCTCCCCCCCCCCCCCCTCCCTCTCTCTCTCTCTCTCTCTCTCTCTCCCTCTCTCCCTCTCTCCCTCCCTCCCTCCCTCCCTCCCTCCCTCC